GGGGCGCAAGAACGAGAGAGAGAGAGAGAGAGAGAGAGAGAGAGAGAGAGAGAGAAACGGGGAGGGGTAGAACGACATCGATAATGCTGAAAGAAACATTTATGTGTGTACCCTTCGCGCATGGATTTTATTTTTCAAAGCTTTATATATACGCGACCAAGAACCGACTCTGTACAGTTCGCCTTGCCGATGACGCCGGAGAACTGAAAAAGCGAGTGGCGCGTTGCATTTAAGAAAATGCTCTTGAGGGTGTATGAGAAGTGTATTATACATATTAATCAACGGGATGATATTATTATTATGGCAATTTCTGAATACGTAAGAGCGTCATGTATTTTTGAATGGTGCTCGGTAAAGGAGGATATGACTTTTAGGCGATTTGGGCACCGCTAAGTGAACGTAAATTTCCTATTTTTTCCTTCGTATTTTTTCCCGTAGAATTAAAAAATCGACCTTAAAATTACGCCAAGTAAAGGGAAAAATAGTTATAGACATTTAAACGTTGATTTTCCCTGAAAATCATGCATTTTCCAACACTGCCATCTTAAATACCTTTGACCTTTTTAGGAGGTGCTAAATCTCACGTTACATAGAAAACTTATTTTCTCAAAACTTGATAATGATATGAGAATATACTCTAAGCAGCAGAGAAAAAGCAGCAATCAATTAAAAAAATATTAACTATCAAAATAGTACAAAAATGATTTTGTAGTCCAGCTTTTTCAAGATTATATAGGGCATTAATAAACGAAAGGAGCCTCTTCTCGAGCATATAGTAACTTTCGCCGCTCAAATTGCTCCGTTTAAGGCAGAGCTCGGAATTAGTTGCCCATTTCGGCCGATTGACTGCTGCTTTTCCTCTAAAAGTCATACCTTCCTTTGCGATTTTTGAAAGTCTGGGTTGAAGTCTATAGAGACATTTTCTTAAAAAAATGCTTGACAAGACACTACTGAGTACAAGACACTAAATAAGAAAAACTTTTAAGGAAAATTAAGCCTGAAGAAAAGTTAATTTTGAACTGTGAAGAATGGTTACTATAATCGTAACAATAATCTTAACGAGCAGAACGGCCTTGAATCAAGTGACAATAAAGTCTGGTTATATGAAATTTCTTGTGACACAATTCAGTTTCGTAAAAACCTGTTTATTTTTTAACCGTGTTAGGAATCGTGAACAAGGTCGGAAACTAGACACTTATTGCTTTTTTATGTTGCAATAAATTTTTTGTTTTATTATAAATTATAGAAATTATATTAGTGAGATTTATTTTAGTTTATTCTTTGTTTTATAGTAAATTTTAAAAATTATATTAGTGAAGTTTATAACTACTTATTATTTCTTGAGAAGCCAAGTAAAATTCACGTATTTGTCTTTTCCCACGCTTAAGTGCGAAAAACGTAAGAACTCGTGTTATAGCTTGTAAAGTGTAACGTCATTTCTTAATGACTCAAATACAGCAAGTAGTTCGCGACTTTTTTGCCGCGTGTGAGCGTGCCAACGTCATGCATCAGTTTCACCGGTAATCGCAACCCAGTGTACGCATTCAGCGAGCGGATTTTTCTGAAGAGGCGAGGGCAAAAAGCTTCCGAGACCATTAAAGGATTTACATTCACGATCTTCTTCCTGTCGCGTGAAGGGTCAAGAGAAGGTGGCGGGATACTTTCTGAAAGGGAAGTCGCAGAGTGTCCACGGAGTGCCATCCCGTTGACTATATTCTTTTCTTCTTTCTGTCGCCTACCACCCCCTCGATTCGACCCTCTCTCCTCTTCAGAGTGGAATATGCGGCGATACAGGGCGGCAGAAAGTTATATTCCGCGTCGCGTTGTCAACCAGATCGAGGTCTGGTGCATTTATCCGGCCCACTTGATGCAACAGGATGCAAATGGCGCGCGACGTGATTTCGGTGGCAGAAAAGGACCTAAAAATTTATCAATATATTTAACACTTTTTCTTTGCAAAAAGAAATTGAGAAAAAAATTTTTAAGTTTTGAAATCTGGATTTTTGGTAATGTGAAAAAAAAATGATTTGATGACTTAAAAATTCTCTGTTTCTCTATAATCTTTTCCTCCTAAGTTGCACGAATTTCGGGATTTAAAACATTGAGAATTCAAGTTGTGTAAAATTGTCCGACAACCTAAGTTTCATGAATTGTAAACTGCATATCTAAGATTTTCTTCTTCTTAGATTTTTCCTAAGATTTTACAATATTGTCATATTCTCGGATTCTTTAGTCATTCCCAAGCAATTTGATTGTAAATGAGTCAAGTATTTATCGACAGACGAACGTGTAGAATGATGGAATATGCAAAGTAATAGAATTCCTGCAAAATTGATTGAATCGCGACGCGGTTGGAAACTCTCGTTTGAGGCAAGTCAAGTCCTGATGAATGGACTCCCACTATAATCGGAAAGGCGGAAACTTCTTGCGGAGATATTTGAACAAGGACAAGTTGACGCTGCTCTTTTGTTGGAAATGGGAAAGGCTTGTTTTTCGAGGTGGCGCCTCAGAAAGCTTTAAGAAAGGCATCTCTTCGATAACTATTGTCCGTTTCCGACGACTTATTTCTGCCCGGCAGGGGTGAACAGTCGATCCCGTCGCGACTTATCGCGCTGATGAATGTGGAACCTAAGTGGATTTCTTAATTATTTAACGCGCTTTCGAAAGGGATCTTCCTGCGGAGTTTTGGCAGGGCCGGAAAAGTCGAGAAGTTCGCTCACGTGGCAATCACCGCAATTCTGTGTCGCGCAAACTTCGCTTCGCCGGGGACGTGTACTTTAATATTCCGAAAATTCGAGCGGAAACGTCACGTTGGAAATATATGAATTATTACGCAAAAAATATTCCATTACAATAGCTGTTGGGAAATTTGTTGTGTTCTTTTTCTCGATCGTTTTTTTAGAAATATTGTCATAAGTCGTAACTGCATTTCTCAAGATCTTTGAAGATTTTTTAATCGTACGTGTTTTTAGAATATTTTTCGTCAGTACACACGATTATTAATTTTTGATTATTAATTCCAGAAGCTCAATGTTCGCGTTACTTAAATTGTCGAGTGTTCGCGCATTTATTTCTGTCGCATTGCCGTTTACGTTACGAAGCGTAAATTTATTTTTTTTTACGATCTTGCTCGCCCCACGTATATATTTTAATTGCGTTATATATTAATTACAGCGCCTCTTTGTAAATTGCCTTGATTGACTGTGCTTTTCCGAGCGATCGGCCGCGATGTATTATTCGCAAAGGCGGAAAACGCAACGCGATCGCTCTATGTGCCGAGTTCCTTTGTTTTTCAGCCAGCCTCAGGGCGTACAAAGGCTTCCGGTTTTCCCTTCAGACGTCGCGACGGTGGCTTTCAAATGTACCGAAAGGGGTTCCGTACGTTCGTACCTCTGACGTCGTCTCAATCGCTGAAACTAATTTAATTAACTAATCACCGCGTCGGTTCAAGTATTACACACGCTGAAACCCGGCTAGCTCCATTTGAAATGTCCTTAATTTGAAATGGCCTGCAGAATAGTTAAAGATAACATGTAGGGTATCCCAGTCATATCATGCGACAATTGTTAATAATGTAAACCTGATTTTCACAATTGATCCGTTTGCATCGCAGACACGTAAAAATAGACTTACCATTAACTATATTTGCCCTGCAGGAGAGAAAAAAATAAACCACCCGCAAATTTAGACTTATTACAACTATAACGACATAAAATTTCGTTATACAAACGATGAATAAAGATTATTTTGGTTCCAGAATAATAGTGAAATTAGGTCTCTAAGTGTTTCTGATTGTACTGTAAATATTGCAGCGATTCTGTCGAATTGTTGAGAACTATTCACTGTTTTCCTACGGATGTTATAACGCGTATTCAGACTTCCGTGACTTCGTGTTAACGGAATTGCGACAGCTGCGAGGGTCGACGTGAAATTGGTAACCCGGTATTTTCTTGCCGATGACAAAGCCGACACCCGTTGCACAGGCATCTAAGAGACAAAGAGTGAAGTATAAGTGTGTGAATGCTTGGAGACGTTATAGTCGCGTCAAATGACATGTTTTTCTCTCTCTCTCTCTCTGTCTGTCTGTTTCTCTCTCTCTCTTTCTCTCTCTCTCTCTCTCCCTCTCTCTCTCTGGTTTCCTTTTATTCTTTTTTTCCTATTTGACATCATTAGTAGGTGGAATTCAAAAGTGACTATCCTTTGATTTTGAGTAGGATGATGAAAAGGCAACATGAATAGTTTCTTTTTTCTTTTTCTTTTCACACAGGTCATTATTAGAGATAATGGCGCTTTTTATTTGTGATAAAGTGAGCGCGATAAAAATGTTCCAACTCCAACTCATCGAGGTTCCACAGTTCTTGAAATTTTAGGGAGAAAAAAAAATTTTATGAATTTAATTTGATGGAAAATATATTTAATTTGATGGATGCAATACTTGAAACGACGTGAAAAAATAAGGAGGAAAGTTCACAAACAATTGTATGATAGGAAAATACAGGGTCGTTATTTTTTAATGCATTTTTTATTTAATGCTTTCTTTACATCAGGATATAAGTACAGAGTTCAAGTAGTTGTTATGCCGCAGTGGAATCCGAAACTAAAAATGTAGTTTGAATTTATGTGGTTGTTTTGAATAGAAGGCAATTATTCTCTGTCGTCGAGCCCTTGTAGTATTTTCTTTGAGACTTCCGCCCAATTCCATTGAACCGCTTTTTTCAGGAGGGTGCTTTTTTTCTCGAATGTTATGCCTTCTCATAATACACGCAATTTGTACAGAAAGTCGTTCCGGCACTCATACATATTTTTTCCTTTTTTACTATAATTTCGTATCTCTTACGAATGTATTTTTTAAATGTTATTTACATATATACAAACGGTATAGCAAAGCTAACAATGTCATAGCATTGCTATAGTTTGCGAGCCGGTCGGATATAAAATCTCGTTTGTCAGTGACTCATTTCGCTATTTTCCAAGATAATTCGTTGTCATAGGTAGCCCTTGATTCGAATCTAAAAATAACAATAAATCTTAACATGTATCGCGTGAAATTGACAAAGCAGACAAGTAGTTGTACAAGAGACTTAAAGAAATGGAGAATATTAAACAATTTGAACAATATAAATTTTGATGTCGCAACATAATCGAGGTCATATTTTTCAAATTAAAAGTATATTTAAAAAATTCGAACTGTGAAAGTATTAGAACATTGCTGACTTTGAATTATACGGCAGAATTGAAAAATTTGCAGAGAATTCCAAATTAGATTTGTAAAAAGCATACACAAGCGAATAACAAATTGCAGAGTAACAATTTGCAGGCATTATGTGGAAACACGGAACACCATGGAAGGTTGAGTCGTGACTATTCATCGAAAACTCTACAGTAAAATCCTGTGGACAAGGCAAAACGAATCCGGGCCTAAACGATTCCTTTGTTCTCCCGCATTAATATGCTAATTCAATTATCCGCGTCGTTGACAGCGAGAGGGCCTTGTCGACAACCACCCTGAAGACCACACTGAGGGTGACCAAAGCCAGTATGCTTGGTCACGAGGTTGTTTCACTAATCCGTTTCACAAATCCGTTTCACAAATCCGTTTCTAGCAGATAATTTTCCCTTTTTCTTTTTCGGAACAGTTTTTGAGAAATGACTCAGAAAGAATCGAACATTTTTACGCGTCAGAACTTTCAAAGGATGAGCAATTATTTTGTCGCTTAAAGACCGAATTTAGTTTAGTGAATATTTAGTTCAATCTGCGAGTTGTATAATGCCGTAATAGCATAAACATGTTCATACCAATCGATTGTGGTGTTAACGTTTATGTTTACATTGTGATAATGTTTGTATTCCGATCGTTGGTAGGTTTTGTAAGAATGCTGACTTTAATAGTAGTATTTCGCTTAGCCTGTTATTCACTACAGATCGCTAGAAATTTTTGAATATTGTTCAACTACTCAGTTGATTGTCATGTTATTAGCAAAGTATTGCTTGTCATGCTGACTCTTTTGCTTCGCTAAAACGTGTGTTAGATAAAATATGCTTTAATTTATTGCGAGTATAAAATTTGTTTTTTACTATGTGTATATATATATTAATATTAATATAAATTATTATTAATATAATAATAATTATTGAATATATGTACGCACACATACACACACACACATATATCCATTATTTACGTATTATTTACGTATATCCATTAATATGGAAATATTTTTTATATTTTGTGATACGTACGAAGGAAGTAATTACCAATGTTTTTCCGCTCTGTTGTTTATTTTACTGGAGTAGTTGTGATCCGCCTGATTGCATTTCGTATCGTGCTAGTAGGAAGGCTCACGAACCTCGGAAACCTAATTATTAATTAACATTGTGAATAACTGAAAGAGTATTGTTGAGCGTGTTTATTATGGGATACACTAGGAGATGTCGATAAATATTTACAAATTACTAAGTCAGATGAAAATCCAATATTATTCAGAAATGTTTATTTATAAATTGGATGCTACCTGAAGGTCTTACAAATTTATAGAAATAACGAGTGTAAAGATAATTTTTTTAGTCCAAATTTAACGATAAACTGTATTAGTGCGAAAAACAACAATAAATTTTACAATTTCGTCAGTCCAAACAAAACATGTAAAAGGAAATGGAAATATGAAAAAATAATTATAAATACAAAAATACAAAAATAATTTAGAAATCAGTAGTGTAGAAGAATCGATAGAAAATGAGAATTGTCGCTTGAAAGGAATAATAAGTTTCAAAATAATGGCAATCTGTGCAAAGAAGTTGGAAGTGAGATTGCATAAAAATGCAGAAGGTTTAAAACTGCCATGACGGTCATGAAGAACGTAACAGATTGATTGATTTCGTAGAATATCAATGAACAAAACGATAACAAATTGTTTTTAAATATTACAAAGCAGTTGAATAAATTATGTTATTTACATATATTTACATAATGTATAAGAAACAGAAAAGAAAGTTCAAATAATGAAGGAGATGAATATTAGAATAATGAGTTTATGTTAGATACAGACAGAATTGATGAGAGAAGAAAATTTATTTGGAATATCGTGCGGCTTGAGAAAAATGGAACCCGAGTGGAAATTTAAAATTGATTTAGTTTCCTAAATATTGATTTGTGCCGCTAATGTTTCACTTAAAAAAAAAGTGGTCTTACAGTCATAACGAAAATTTCCTAAAGAAATTTGCCAAGATAGATCAAATGAGAACGTTTTCAAAGCAGAAGTGATATTTTTACGTTTTGTGTGCGTCAATAAAGAGGATTCTCTGCTTATGTATAATGTACAAAAGAGTGCAGAGTTTTAAAAACAAAGAGGTTAATATATAAAATTAATATAAGTAATTAATTAATAACTTATAAACACTGATTGTGTACATTATACAACATTCTTCACTGAAACATACGAAACGTAAAGTTATAAAAATGTCATTGCTGCTTTGAACATATTTCTGTTTTTTTCTTATTCTTTTCCAATCGTGGGAAATATATAACTAGAGAAGGTTGTAGCTAGTAAAAAATTTTTAGTATCGAGTGAAACTGATACAGATTAAGAGTCTATTTTTAAATGAAATTTCTATAATTTCTTAACGCTTCATGTTTGACTAGACAAATTTACAAATTTAATGTAGAACTAATATTTTGACTTGGGATCTTTCGGAATTCAATCAATTGAATTGTGTTTCGGAATTCAATCAGTTGAATTGTGAATACTTGCTTTGTAATATTATATTAAGGTTGTGTGTATATTATTATATCTTTCATTATTTTTCTACTGAATCATTTTAAATCTTGCTAGATTTGTAGTACTTGTTATAAATGTTGAAGATCTCTATCGAGATTGAATCACATTGCATCAAGGCCTTCCTACAAATATTCTACAATACACCTCGTTTTTTCATGCCTTTATCCTGATAATTTTAACGATGCTTGTACGGATGTGTGACTGAAACTGTGTACAGTCTTCTTCCATAGATTCTCTTTCTTTCTCCTTACAAACATTACATTAGAGATATCACAGATCAGGCCCCTGAAAATGGGCGAAATGCTTAATGATTTTTGAATGTAACAAGATGATAGTGTATCTTAATGAGGCGTACCTGAATATGCTAAGATGTGCATGCATCTATGCTCTTACAGGGTGTGCAGCATGTCTGTAACATTCCTATGAAGTCCAACATGGATCTGTTGCATTGACGGGTTGATCGGTGCCTGAGTAGCGGGTAGAACGAGAGCTGTTTCCCGGACTGCTGCTGATTGTGCTAAAGATATTTCTAATAGGTCCAGACATCGATGAGGAAGAGAATATTAGTTGAGGATGAGGCCTGTCAGTCCCTACAGTATAATAACCAGTAGGGGAGAGCTAGTTTATATGAATATGCCAATGTCGACGACCTCGACAATGACGATTTACCTGTTATCGGTGCCGGCGGATAGAGATTCGGGTAGAAGCTATTAGCGACCACAGCTGCGTTGTTGTTAGCGGCATCAGCGGCTGCGGCCGCTACCGCGTAGGCGGACGATGCTTGTACAGTACTGTTTCCTGTGACTATTTTGTTGATGGGAATATCGAAGGATCCGAAATACGACGACAGGTGCGGATACTCGAACGAATGCGCGTGATGATGATGATTGATCGGCTGTGGCGTTGCAAAATACGTTGCCATAGGAAAGTTAGACGGAGAAAAAGTATTTATGGCCTTGTGTTTTGCCCGGTTCAACGTCCTGGGCTTCCTCCGAGGCCGATATTTGTAGTCCGGATGGTTCTGTTGATGTATAGTGCGTAACCTCTTTGCTTCTTCGATGAAGGGCTGCTTTACGTCCTCGGTAAGTAGCTTCCATTCGGAACCGAGCTTTTTCGAGATCTCGGAATTATGCATCTTTGGATGCTCTTGAGCAATTTTTTTCCGTTGTTGACGAGACCATACCATAAAAGCGTTCATAGGTCGCTTTATGTGTTGTTGCTCGTCTAGTCCAGGCGTTTGCCGCCCATTGTTCATTACGTCTTGCGTTACGTCAGGCACCGGGTGTAGATCCATGCTATGTAACCATCCGTAGTTCGTGTGGGAATCCATTGCCAATCAGGCTCTTATGAGAAGTTCCCTCGATGTATCTTCTTTGTATAACAAAACGACTTTTCCGATTTAACTCGAACAAACGCCAAGAAAATATCTATTCACACCTGACTGAAATAGTCCCCAATCACACGTGTAACGACTTTTTGGAAGCTCATTCGTCCAAAACGCATTGAATCGACTGTGCTCGAACGATGGATCGGTTTAGACTGAACCCGAAACCCGGAGCTGCTCCGACGGAGTTGCTCGAAGCGTCCTCTCCTTTCATCTTCTCTTTCTCTTTCTCTTTCGCATCCATTGCAAATTCCTCATTCGGCTCACCTTCATGGGCGTGTTGCTTCGTAGTCGGGTATTCGTAGGTCACAACCCATCGGCCGGCCCCTCGTGCTCGATTGGCCGTTGCCTCTCTGGCGTTCATGTAACTTCATTGCGCTTTGCGCCACTTCGTTGCGCTTCATCCTACATCGTCGCTCTTGGCCACCCCACTTTGCGACTCGCGACGAGCGGAGCTGGCCGCCTCGGCGATACCGCGGACTGCAATTATTATTATCGATTACTTCGATACGATGAAGTACAAATAGCGTATAGACCGGTCGTTATTGACTGGCTCCGTTCGCGTACTGTCGTCGTACACGCGCCACCGCGGCACGATATCGTGCGATAATTGGTTACGCTCGCACACCTATTCATAGCAAAGAACATTCTATTCATCCCTTACCCGCTTTGAGAGGTCTTGGTCAGTTTTCGGTTATAGCTCTCAAGGTTTTCTGGACTGATGCTTCTGACTGGCACACCTTCGTCTCTACTTAAGAATACTGATTGTTTGGAATCATGTCGGTAAAGGGATGGGAAAAGGAAAGGGATGCTTTTCCACAATTGACTTTGATGACCTGAGTTAAGTGTTGGAAGGATCGATTGGTCGTCGATAGTCTCAGAGGAAGTTGCGACAGGGTATCACACTGTACTCGAGAAGAACACATACTATGTGCTTTTTTTAACTCGTGGATATATTGAGTGTATTTGGTTATTTCGATATTAAAAGTAAACATCATTTTAAAGTGTTTCCGGTCTAATTTTAAATAGAAAATACAAATTGAGTTGGATTATTACTCGAACTACCTACTTCATTACCCAAAAATTTGCCCCATCTTTCTGATCAGGTTAATCTCAATCAGTTGTCTGATTTGCTTAAGGTTATGTGTTATCGGGTCCTAACTATTAATAATCCTTATTATTAATGAAATCCTGATTGACATGCTGCATTACATGACTTATTAGGACATGGTGAAGTCACCTTTTACGAACCGGATGGCTGATTGGGGTCAACCTGATTCAGACTATAGGGTAGGTTTCTAATCAGGTATTGAATGATTCTGAGCTAATGGTCGCGACTATGTCTTCAGTTGGAAATTATTGACTCTTTTTTAATATTTGATTATTCTGTGAAGTGAATGTTCATGAAATAACGTAGGATTAAGCCGTAAACGTGGGATTGATCATATGCTGAAAGTATTGAGACACTACCTGGGTTTGATTCAGTAATCAAAGTCATACTACAAATTGTCAGCTGCTGCTATCTGACGTCAAACGGAGACACTATTGCTTTCTACCTTGACGTGGGTTTCTATTTTATCTTCTCGTTCCCTAAAATGATGCGTTATTTTCTCTTCACGCCTATTGAAACTTTTCATCATCTTTCTTTTTTCTTTAGCGAGTAATCGGGAGTCTACTCTAAAGCGGGTTTCGATCTATTTGTGTATACAAAAATACATACACACAGAGAGAGAGGAGGAGGGGGGGAGAGGATGAGGAGGAAGGTGGAGGAACGGTCGCTTCTGTGAAACAATGCCGGGCAAAATCTGACGGTTGCCCTCCTATGGGAAATCTGCGGGTACAATGCAAAAAATCCTCTCGACGACAGGGTACTTGGATTAGAATGAAAAGCAGCAAAAGGAGAGAGCGCTGCCCCCTTTTCCCAATCCCGAATCACCCCTTCGTCGTCCTGACCCATCCTCCCACCTTCCCGGCTCCCAGAGGATATTCAGCGACGCGAACGAATAGACGCCGTTCGCTTTCAGCGAACAGTATTAGTTGTTTTGTGCTTTCGTATTACGACTGCTTTTCGACGTCTCCTCGTTGCCACGAACACTTCTTCCTTTCTCGCTGTTGTTTACTCGCATCATGTTCATAGACGAATACTAATAGGTCGTCTTAAAATTTTTGCTGTCCGCGTCGCATATCGAGCTGGACTTTATTCGTTAATATTATTGAATAATATTGACATTGATAATCGTGTGAGTATCGTATGAAAATGCGAACCTTTTCAGAATGAGAATTTGTAAATTATCATCACGAGCTCTTTCGAATTTTTGCAGAGACGCCAGCAGTTTTTAATTAATCGCGAAATTAACGAAATTAAAGTGCGAAACTTTATTTTTAAGTCGGGGGGCTTTTTTATGAAGAGGTCTGTTATCGCGAGATATTTCTCGACAACGTCACTTCCTCATTGATCTTGGCGCGATCGGATAAAAAAATTCAGAAAAGCGAGCCCGTCAGCTAATAATTTATTATCACGTCGGGGTGCGCCACCCCGAAAAACAAAACCCACCCTCGTCGCGGCGTCGACAAAGGTGGCGAAAGGAAAAACGAGAAGCACGTCTCTTCCGTCGCGGAAAAAATCCGACGACGTGGTCGCCATTCCGTCAGCCTCTCCGCGAATACCTCATGCGCGCACACACACATACACACACATGCGCGTGCACACACATTCTTACCCGCATGCAGTCGGGTGCAAATTGGTATTGAAAAATCTCGAAGTCAATTAAAACTCCGGGCACAAAGGATTCGGCGAGACAAAATACCAATTATCTCATATCCTCGCCGTCGTCCTCTCCCGCACTCTCTCCTTTCCCTGCCCGACCGATGTGGCGGAAGGGGGTGGCGCAGGGGGAGGAGGACGGCTTTCCCTTGCAAGAACTCAATTCCATTAGGCATTGAAGTGAGTAAAACGAGGATGGGCATCTATATAACGCACTCGCATCTCGCTTATCTACCTAATAAAGGTTTCTCTCTCCCCTCCCCGTCGGCTTCTTCCACCTCTGTGGCACCCCTGCAGTATAAAGCGTGCGCCCCGTGAGGTGTCTGCGAGACAATCCCCCGGGATGACAATGCTTATCCCACGTATGAATGCCGACGATGCTTCCTAGGTAATTTAAGTATAGCCCGCTCGGTATCGCCCCTTCTTCTCTTCATGCACTTCCACCCGTTCGCCGCGATTCACGGGTCTTCAGTCGCCGGTCCATGACAATTCGTTGTCTGCGCGTTAATGATTGCCCTTAAGATTCATTCTGAATCTGAATTCCAGAGATGCGGGGAGATACGGGATTTGAGAAAAATTTTCAGGGTTTAATATAGTGAAAAATTCTGTTTATCCATCGAAAAATCGAAGAACATCGAGGTTCTCGTGATCCCAGCGAAACAGTTGGTAATTAATATGCGTCCACGAAGTTGCTGAATTATTTACACGAAGAGTTTTGGATTCTTCGGATTAATATCTTAAAACTTCAAGAGGCGCTTTTTAGAACTCATACCGCGTTTTCGTGTAGAAGCTGATAAGGACTTGGGTTATTTTGCTTAATTAGCTACTAGAGTATAGTTAATTAGTAATCCTGTCTCATAGGTTGCGTGTGCGTGTATATTCGACATACCTTACTTCGGAGCATGTAATTTGGATATACGAGATTATCCACGCCGCGTTCCCGACGGTTGATCCTGCAAATTAAATTGGTTGCTCGACCGACGAGGCGAATCGTCAGGCCGGTGGAACGTTCATCCTGCAAGCTTTTTGCAGCAGGTGAGGCGCCATATCCGACTGATTATAGGCGATCGCGAAGGTACAAGGGTGGACGAGTAAAGCTTCGTCCGCAATAACTGTTTAAAGAGTTTTCGATGTGCATCGTTCCATTGCCTCAAAATATTCAAATGCCATTGCTTCAATATGTTAGAAAGTCGCAAAACTTTCGATATTTCTCAAATAATTAAAAATTTGCAAATTACAAATTCCACATTGAGAAAAAAATATCTAAAAATTAACAAATATTTATTAGGTGGGTATCATTAATAAATTTACTTCAATCAAATATTTTGGTTTAAGTAAACAATATTTTAATGAAGAGAATTTAAGTAAATATGTTAATGGTGCCCACTTAATAAATATTTGTTAATTTTTAAATATTTTTTCTCAGTGCAGAAATCTATTTTATACCACAGTGTTTAAAATTAATTCTTAGTTTAAAATTAATTACTATTAAATAACTTCTTACCTTTTTTTGCATGATGATAACAAAATAATGAATTCAACTTATTAACATTTCTCTTATACACAAAAGAATATTCGCAATGTAATTATGTAACGTCCAATTTTCTCATAGATTTAAAACATACGGGTAATGGATTGTGTACTTTCTCGATATTATCTCAGACAACAATAAATTACAAGTTCTTCGGTCGCTTGTTGGGGACGCAGCTTAAGGGGGTGCAAGATAAAGAGGAAGGGCAACGGGTTCAGGACAGCTCGCGCGAGAGCACAGGAGCGCGATAGCGAGAGAAGGAGAGAAACCCAGTGGACCCATCGCGGTGCCACGTCGCCACCCTGAAAAGCACGCTCGAACGCGTTGCGTAATTAGCGACTGCCTCTCCGGTTTCGTAGGTGGGTAGGTTATATCCGGCAGTGGCAGAGATCGGGCGGGGAGTGAGAGAAAGGAGGAGGGTGGAAAGGGTCGACAAAGTGCAACCCTAGAATCCGTTCGAGCGACTTATGCTGAAATCCGCCGCGTGCGTTAGGAACACGTGCACGATGTACGGGGTGTTTGCTTGGGAAGACGATTTGCCATACGTTCACATCGCAGGACAATTTTTATTTTCCGCTCATATTGTGGTCTTATGTTTCTGCAAAGAGCATATATAGCCTACGTACTGATGTAATTTTTTAAATATTTCGTTATACATTTGTAGAAATATCTTGCAACTCTCTAATTTTTCGGGACTTCGTGTTTTTGCAAGTTTTGTGTGATCTTAAACATTTCATTATTTCAAGTTCTGAAATAAAATATGAAAACGCTTCTATATTACACACACACATACTTAGTTAGGAGCGGATTAATAGTTTGATCCGATTTCTTTGGAAAGGAAAGGGGTTTTGGTCGAACTATTCGACTCGTGGCGTCGACACTAATC